GTCCTCACACGTCTTGCTGTCCTCACACATGTCCTGCTGTCCTCACACATGTCCTGCTGTCCTCACACATGTCCTGCTGTCCTCACACGTCTTGCTGTCCTCACACATGTCTTGCTGTCCTCATACATGTCCTGCTGTCCTCATACATGTCCTACTGTCCTCATACATGTCCTGTACCAGTCTAACATACTTCTCTGCCACTCCAGACTTCCTCATGTAATACCACACCCCCTTGTGGTACTTAAGGTACTGGTAGTTGTAGCTGTTCCCAATCATAATAGCTTACACACCAGGTGCATATAGTTTAAGGCCTTATGTAAAATCCCCTTCATAAGCCCACCTTAAACCACATAATTGCATGTCACATTTCAACCAGAACGGCACAGACTGGACATCCACCCAGCGACGACCTTCGCTGGAGGAGACCTGCAATCCTGACGTTGGTCTCCACTCTTCAACCAGTGGCCGCATCTTCAGTTCAATTCAAGGGAACCCCTCTGTATGCTGATCAATCAACACCTCCAATCGTTGTGGATTTACCGTTGTGGTTTATATGTCTTTTTCAAATGGATTACAGACTCTGTTTCCAAGGGGTTAAAGCATTGCTACAATGGAATTACCAACAACCTTATGGAATTACCATCAACACAATGGAATTACCAAAAACATTGTGGATTACATCCTTTGACTTTTGTTTTCCTTGCTAGATTACTTTTGACTTTTATTTTCCTTGCTGGATTACTTTTGACTTTTGTGTTCCTTGCTGGATTACTTCAAGACCAGGGACATTCGAAGGCGTAAGTTCATGTTGGAATTCATCCCCATGGACAGGCGATGATTTCCAAAGGGGGGACTGTAGTGAACTAAGCCTGAGGTCAAATCCTGACCTTAAGGACCTTATGGGACAGAAACTGTCATTTCATTGATTTGAATCCAGAAATACAGGTTGACCCATCCTGAGACTTTCTTTCTTGAATTGATCAAGTGAAAGAACACTATTTTCTATTATCATTACTATTTTACAAATGTTTGATAATCAAAATGTTTTTAGTTCAAACCATTTTTAGATGTTGCAGTGAACTAATCATTTTTAATTCAACTGTGAAACACTAATAATGATTTTAATCCTCATGCAAAGTAGAAATCATGTTGAGGTCTGTTACAGAGTAATTATGCATTTTCTGATTTTCTGTCTTTGAATGAGCAAGTGTAAGCTGGTCCAAGGTTGGAGTCAAACGCAAAACAAGTTGTTGGAACGAACTGTCATGTTTTTAAAATCCTCTCAGACGTAAATATAGAGGCTGGCACCTGTTTTCCCCCAACTCGTCTAAATATTCCTCTCGTCTGTCTGAAAAACATTTTCAATCTGTTCCATAACATTCTTGCTGTTTTTCTGACTCCTAGTGACCTCTTACGTCACAAAAACACACCCCTGTCTGGTCGAAACGACCAATCAGGAAACTCCCAAATGAACCGGAAATAGAGCTCTTTAAATGTCGGTACTTCCTAGTTCAAACGAGTCGGGTGGAGAGTTTGCAGCTCCAGTCGTTTGGGAGAACAGAAGTCCAGCATGATCCAGAGCTCTTCCGAGTCCTGTGGGAATTATGCAATCTTCCACATCTGAGTGGAACTTCTGAAGGACTCCACTCATGTGAAGTCCACTCGTGAGGTGAACTGTTGTTGATGAAGTCCCGCCACCACTCCGGACGGTTCTCTGCCATCCTACGGAGACGCTGGACCGGTAGCTTAACTGGAGCTCCGTTTCCACTGATTCATCGTCAGAGAGGCAACGAGTCGAGTTTACTATCGAGCGTACTGAGGAAAGCTGGGTTCAAATGGAGGGTGCCGTTCTGTTCAACACTTTTCACTCACACACACCATCTCCCTCCCTCTAAACTTCATCTTTCCATCTTTAAACTCTTCTATCTGCTAGCAAATTAATCCAGATATTTTTAGAAATGTCTGTTGTGAAGTTTTTCAACCATCGCCGTATGGTTAATCAAATTGTACAGCTTGCTAAATTAGTCATGTTGTTGTTGAAATCATTTTGCCAAATTAATGTAAATGTGTGATGTGTTTAAATCGTTTTTAATAAATGACCCACTGTCGTTGGTGAGTCAAAGATAAACACGTTTCCCTCCACATTTTATTAAATTCAATGCACGTTATTACTCATTCCAGAAAAATGAAAGAATCCGTTTAATTTATGAATATATACAGCATATGTTCATCTACAGTACCCTGTCATATGTTCTTTCTAAATCCACAAAGAGACAATGAAGTTTTTCTAACCCTCTGTACTTCTCCATCAGCGTCCTCAAAGCACAGACACATAAAACATCTACCTTCCTTCTCTGCATCATGTCAGTCAGCTCTCTACCTTTGCCTGTCATCGTCCCCACATTTAGAGTGTCCACCCTCAGTCCTTCATTCTAGACTTTCCTCTTCTCCCTCTGTCTCCTGACACGTTTCTCTCCTCGTGGTCTTCGACTAACAGTAGCACAATTTCTGCTGGCATCGTTCGTCAACAGCGCCGGTGGCAGTTGTTGTTAACCCGAGCATGTTGTTAAAACCTCGACCAATCCAGTATTGTGTTGCTTAGATGAACTCATATTTTAGTTTTGGCATAAGTGTTGTACCTCAGATGCCCTTCTTGACACAACCCTCACCATTTACCCGGGCTTTGGACCAGAACCAGAGATACTGCTCCCTATTTATGTTTATAAGTGATGAAATATAAACATGAATTAATTCTGTTTTAATCCCTGAGAGCTGAACTTTGAACTGCCGTAGTCTGGTTAAGGGTGAACTTACACAACACTGAACAACTTTTACCCAGTAATCACACAGATGGTAAATAGAGATGACAGAAAAATGTTCTTTTTTAAATGTGTGGTTTTGAAGCTGATCTGCTTCATCTGTAGTTTAACTGTAAACAAAACACACACTCAAGTTGCTTTATTAACTAGCAAAGTGATTACACAGACCTACAGCTCTGCTGGGTGTTCACAGCGTGGCATGATTCCTGTTCAGCTGATACTCCCTCTTGTTCTCACCTTTGCCTTGTTGGGGGGATCCTTGGTGGCAGATTCTGCAACTCTTTCAGGAACAGAGAAGTCCAGTCTTCCTCTGACGCCACAGCTCAGCACCTCTTTGAGAAGCTGGTAGTCTGGTTTATCTTGGTAGTCCAGAGTATTCACATAAAGCAGAAACGAGGCCACCTCATCTGTTAACGTCCACAATCAAGTTTAAAGTCAAAGAATGTTGGATCAACAAGCAGCAATGGAGTCATCTACTATCAGACTTTAATTTTCCTGACACACACAGCACTTCAACATGTTCACTGATGCTTCGTCTTGTGTATGAAATCATTTCTGGGCAGGAGGGGGAGTCATGTTGGAGTCAACCTGAAGGTCTCACAGAGCAGATAAAACACTGGCAGGTCCTGTTTGATCTGCACAGTAAGGATTACAGCTGTGTGTGCATCATATACAGTCAGCCTTGATGCATCACACACCGTTCAAGCGACGTGTTGACACACACAAGGTGATGCATTCTGCAGCGCTTATCTGTGGCAGGCAGCCGGGTTCTGTCAGCAGACCAGCGTGCAGCTCCTTCCATACATCACACAGGTGTGACCTCTGCTTCCAGAGAGCAGAAATAAAACCACACACTCTGTGAAACAACTGCTAAACACAAAGGAACTTGGTGCAGAGTCCAGGAACCTGAAGGGGACACTAAAGGGGTCCATAAAGACTCTTAATCTATCCAGTCATGTTTAAACCTTTTAAAATCTGTCCTTTCATTCATTTTGTAGCTAGTGTTTTGTTACTTTAGCTTTAAGCTAGTGTTTTGCTACTTTTAGCTTTTAGCTAGCCATTTACTGCTTTTAGTTAGCATTGGTTACTTTTAGCTGTTAGCCTTGGTTACTTTTAGCTGTTAGCAAGCCTTTTGCTACTCAGCTTTTAGCTAGCGTTTTGCTGCTTTTATATTTTAGTTAGCCTTGGTTACTCTTAGCTTTTAGCTAGCATTTTGCTACTTTTAGATTTTAGTTGGCCTTGGTTACCTTTAGCTTTTAGCTAGCCTTTTGCTACTTTTAGCTTTGTTAGCCTAGGATACTTTTTAGCGTTTAGCTAGTCTTTTGCTACTTTTAGTTATTAGCTAGCCTTTTCTAGTTTAAGCTTTTACCTACTATTATACTACTTTTAGTAATATTGATTGATTGATCTCTTTTGCAAGACAAGCTTGAACCTTAAGGCAGTCTTATATGCATGATTTTGACCTGTTCGCATTTTGCTACTTATAAAATTTTGTATCATTTTGGTACATTTTCCATTTATTTAGCCTTTTGTTCATTTTAGTTAGCATTTTATTTGTTTTAGTTAGCATTTTTGCTAAGTTAGCAGTTAGTGTGTTGCTACCTCTAGCTTTTAGCTACTGTGAGATAAGCCTTCAAAGAACTGCTGGGCTTTCTCGTTCATTTTACCAACATCCCATTGTTCATGTGGACATTTTTAAGTTTTCTGGGAAGAAATTTTGTCATTGTTGTGTGACGTACTGCTCAGGTCATTACACACTCTTAACTATATTGCATGTTCTAACGATTCAGACTGAAAATCCTGACAGAAACAAAAGAAAAATGGATGAACAGCAACAAGGGTGCTTCAGTGCTGCTGCACAGGCGCCATTAAAAACTAGAAAGGTTGACATAAGAGGTAGATCAAGATTGTAGCAGAATGATAAAATAAAAAGTCTGGTACTAAACAAGTGTTAAAAAGCTCCATGGATTGCTGATTTATTACATTATGGTGATGGGGAGGGGAAGGACAACACAGTTAAACTGTACTTTGTGTAGCAGCTCACTCCTGACTGTGACCTTTACTACTGATCATTAGAATTAGACACATTATGCGTCTCCACAGGTTTCTTGTTTTACTTCCAAATTCTCAATTTAAGCTCAAAGTCTAAATGATGTCCAGTAACCCAAGAGGTCCTGCAACCTCAGTTTACCTGTGCTGGCTTGTCTCACTGACAGCTGCAGAACAGAGTCTGGCAGATTATTCATCAATCTGAGAAATGAAGAGAGAGGTCAAACAGGAAGGAGGGGGGAACAAGGAGATGGAGTTCAGAGCCAGTTATCAAAATAAAAACACAAGCTGTTCCACAGAATGTAGTACTTTACTGTGATTGGATTAGTGATATTCATTATGAATATGCAGCACTGCTAGGAGTGCACTGTATTACACTGCAATCCCTGTAATCCCATTATATTACAAACACAAAGGCCAAAAACTGAGTTACTCCTAACTGTGTTAAACTGGGTAAGTTTTATTTTTTTTCCCTGTGACCCCTGAAAGGTTCAAAAAGGTGTCGCAGCCGTAGTACTGGATACAGCCAAGTACACCAGAATCAGAAGCAGCCTACCTGGCCTTAGCCTCCTGAACCTGAGTGGGTTGTTTGAGAACACCATCCCAGGGCAGAGAGCCACATAACCATTGAAGAAGGCAGAAGCCCAAAATCTGCAGGTCCCCACGTCGTGATGGTGCTGCAGAAAGACAAGAGGAGGAGACCAGATCTGAGATGGCATCGCTGTAAACACGCAAGCCCAACACGGGATTTAAAATGGAAATAACAGAATGTAATTATTTACCATTAGTCACAGTAGAACATAGTAAACATATCAAATGTTTGAGAATAAATGTCATTTTGAATTCAATGATAACACAATTTAAAACAACTGGCAAAATTGCATTTCCTGCAAAAATGCAGTGTGAAGGATTATTGCAGAAGAACTTGCTGAAAAAGAGCTAAAAGTAGCCAAAAACATTCTGAAATGTAGCTGAAATGGAAGAACAAGCCTAAAATGCAGAAGAAAGAGCACATTCATTCAACCTTTTTTTATCCAGGTTAGTCTCATTGAGTCACGAGGACTCATTTACAAGAGAGACCTGTTTTAGACAGACAACAGATGAGGTACAAATAAACAACAATAAAATGCAAAATAAAAATTAAATAGAAGTAGTGATATAAAACAAAATAAAAACAAGCTACATTATGAAACTAGGTAAAATACTAAAAACAGGAACATGTCTGCATTGAACTTAACAATTGTTTAAAATCCCATAGAGGTCAAGGTCGAGAGCTTCAGATGTTTCTGTAAGATGTTCCAGGATACAGGGTTGGAGTAGGAGCTTTTGCCAAATTCAGTCTGCACTGAGGGAATACTGCATGAAATAATGACCTGAGAGCGCACGCTGTAGCTGCGTGCTTACTGAATTATGTTTAAATAAGCAGAAATGAGCAGAAAAAAGCTGAAATTAGCAAAGAATAGCTGAAAAGTGGCTGAAAAGGCAGAAAGAAGCTTAAACTACCAGAAGGAAATGGGTAGAGCTGAAATGAGCTAAAAAAAAAAAATTGGAATTGGCCAAAAAGGCTATAGATTACATAAAAACAGCTAAAATTAGCAACAACAAAAAACTGAAAACCAGATAAAAAGGCAAAAAAAATCTTAAGTTACCAGACGGGTGGAGAGAGCAACTTTTTGCTGAATTGGGCTGAAAAAAGTTAGTGACTGCAAAGAATATGGAATTAGCTGGAAATGGGGGGGGGGGAGGGGCATAAAGGCCTTAAGAATTCTGCAGCACCCATAAGAAACACCTGGAGGAGCATTTTGCAACTACTTACTGTATGTTATTTACAAGAGGGGTGGGTATAAAGAGTTTTAGAGGCTGATTCTTTTAGAGGTGAGGATGGGCAGAGGTTCACCAGTTTGTGAAAATATGCGCCTAGAATGGAGCAATTTTAGAATAACGTTCCCCAGCAATAAAAATTTAATTTAAAAACAACAGAAGACCTTGAATATCCCATCATCCATAAATCATTTGATTTTAAATTTTACACATCGTCCCAACATTTTCAGAGGAAAGTTTGTATATTCTTTGTTTTTAGCAAGAAATGAGAGCGTTCAACTTGGTTTTTGATAAAACCATAAATCCACATACAGCTGCCTCCCAGCTGTTAATGTTATTATTTCAATTAGTACAACAATTAGAACAACCCCTGAACTGAAGCTCCATTGGGCACTTGTTGACACGTCACATATTAAACAGGAAAAGCAGAGTTTGCATCACATGCAGTCACATCGTGTTCTTAATGCATGCTGAACATGGCAGGTTGGTGTTGCCAAGTTCCAACCTGTTCATCAATACATCGACGTGAAATCAGACCTTCATCATCTGGTCTTGTGCTGAAGCGACCACATTTCCTCTTTGGACCAGACCGTTGGCTGGGCAGGATCAATGCTAGCTGCAGCTCACAGTGGACATTTCTCCTTGTTGATGGAGCCAATCAATAGGTAATTTCTCCTGAGATGTACAGCAGTCTTTACTGTATTGACCTACTACAACTCCCCAGGCTTGACCTGACTGGATGAACTTGATTACCAAATATTGGCAGACCTTACACATAAATGTAGATCAATTCAATTCAGTTCTTTTTTTTTTTTTTAATAGCACCAAGTCACAACAGAAGTCGTCTCAGGGCACTGAACAAAAGTGTTCACATTCATTATAAAAGACAATTAGTAAAGTTGTCGGTCTAAAGAAGCAGCAGATTGTGTTGAATCTTCACTTCGTCTCGGTCTCCATGAGACATACACTTATCACCAAGGAACACAAGCCCATTTAATTTGTTTGAGCTTTAAGTGCACAACAACTTGCACAAATATTCCAAGATTTTTCTGTCCTCAAATAATAAATCTGATCATTCATTCCATTTTATTTATTTTATTTTTTTAATTCAGGGTCGGGGGGAGGGAGACACAGCCTCAGGTGGTGGAGTTCAAGTATCTGGGCATCTTGTTCAAGAGTGATGGTAGGATGGAGCGGGAAACTGGGGCTTCATCCTCAGTAATGAGGGCGTTGCTTTGGTCAGTCGGGGTGAAGAAAGAGCTAAGTTGAAAGTCAAAGCTCTCAATTTACTGGTCTGTCTACAATTCAACCCTCACCTATGGTCATGAGGTTTGGATCATGATCAGAAGAACAAGAACTCAAATACAAGCGGCCAAACTGGGCTTCCATCACAGGGTGGCCGGGCCCAGCCCTAGAGATGAGGTGAGGAGCTTCGTCATCCAGAGGGAGCTCGGAGTAGAGCCTCTGCTCCTCCACATCAAAAGGATAAATCTACTCAGTCTACGGCCTAGCAGGCTGTAGAATGAGTAGCAGTGAAGGCTACCCATGTGACAGATCTGGTTGGTAGACTGCAGACTGAGGAAGTCCTCTGGATGGGACATTAAACGTTTCTCACTGAAAAACTGGTCCAGATGACACAATTTAAACTTTTTGTTGTCATCTGCCTGGAAGACTGAGCTTACTAACCAACTTCTGTTGCAACTTGGAGTTATAGAAATAAACTGTCTTGAATCGGACCATTCCTTCTGTGCGCTGAACCTTTACATGAGTGCAATCATTCTATTTTAAAACAACACAAACCTGCCGTAAAGAAGATAAAATGTCATTTTTACATTAGCTCAAGAATTGAAAGTGTCATCATCTTTTCCACTTGAGCTTAATAACTGTGATAATAGGGGTTAGATGTGTTTGTCCTTGCGGGTGTAAAGTGTGCATTAATTCTGTTTTAAAATGGGACATTTTTGTTGTTGTAAATGATTACACAGTGAGTTGTTGCCGACACCACGGCTTGTTGAAGGAGACTAAAGATGAAAAATACATGTGATAGCGACACGAGAAATCGTGGTCTGATTTCCTGAGCAACATAATAGATTTAACAATTAAAAAGATCAACAGCTACATTAAGCCTTGCTGCACTGTGTTTGCTCTGGGCATGATGTCGTAGCTCATTATATGTTTTTATGTCTATTCTTAAGTCTGTGCTTTGCCCTTGTGTAAGGAAAGGCAATAGAGAGAGAGAGAGAAAAGAAAAGTGTGTCAGTAAACGGCTTTTAGATAAAGCTTGGACAGAAATACTTAAGATTCAACTAAATCCACACAGAGTGGGTGTGAGCCTCAGACAGGGAGGTGAGGAAGCGTTGGTTGTGTTGCTAATTATCTCCTATTGTTATTCGCGTTCCCTTAAGCTCAGAGCAATGTCACCTTCTTAACCCCTCTGCCTGTTTGGAGACGGTCATCAGTCCGCTGTCCGCCCACCGAATGGCAGTAATTACAGCGTTTAACTCTGGGTACACACGACTGCCACTTGCAAGCTGTGTTCACCACACCTCGCTATGGCAACCCGACAACATCACTGTGGAGATTAATGCCACCAGGTCAGAAATGGGTCTGATCCTTGAACATGAATGTGAAAACCTTTCTCCGTCTGTCCCAACAAGTTTTAAAAGAACATTAAGACGTTCTCGGAGCCGGAAGTTGGCTGAGGTTTTGAAGTGTGATATATCACTCTGCTGTTCAGCCTGCAGCTCTCTCACGGCTTTATTAAGGACACTTTAGAGGCCTGGAAATTAAAAATACCCGAGTGCTAACTGCTTTCTTCACTGACGTCAGGCAGTAAAAGACTCGCTAACGTAAGGTAGTATATCACTGGACTGTTACTAGTTGTCAGACAGAACCCGTGTGGGAGTCTCAAGTGTGTGACTTTAACTGGGGTTCTTGTGTTTCTCTGTGCGCAGTCCTATCGCTTGTGTTTGAAACATGTTCAAAGAATTTGTACAACGGATTTGTTTTCAAAATTGCTGCTGTTTTGCGGTGGTGAGCACTGTCTTGTTCTGAAAGTTTAATGTTTTCAGATCTTAGATCTTGTAGCTATGGGGCATCAATATTGCGTGATGTCTCCTTTTCAGCTATCAGGTACAGGTCTCTCTTGAAAATGAGTCCTTGTGACTCATTGAGACTAACATGGATAAATGAAGGTTGAATGAATTCTCCAATATGCTTCTCCAGTATTGCTCAGTCTCTGCTCAGGATGGATTTGCTTTAGTGGTGTTCCCCTGCCATTGAGAGTACACTCTGGATAGCATGGTGGAGAATGCCTTAAGGCCCCCACATACCGGTACTCCGGAGAACTGTGCATACACCGTAAACCGAATGGACTTCGCACATACTGTCCACAGACAGTTGAGACTTCATGCTCGAGCGTACAAATTTTAATTCTCTAGTGACAAATTCCTTCATTTCTCACAATTTCAGTCATGGCAACAACGGACGAGGAGGAAGACATCGCTTGCCTCTTGGCAAAAAAACAAGAGAAAAGAAGGTGGTACATGAACCAGACCAGGGATGAAGAAGGGGAATTTAATATACTGGTGAAGGACGTGAAGACAATGGACAGCGAGAAACATTTTTAATATTTTCAAATTGATTATAGCAAGTTCGATAACCTAGTTGGGCGCTTAGCCCCATTTCTTCACCATCAGGGCAGCCACCACACACCTGTCAGTGCTGCACAGAGAGCGGCAGTTGCGCTGCGCATCCTTGCTACTGGTTGCTTGGAACACAGAGAGCGGTTGGTGTCACATACAAAACAGTTCGTTGTGAACACCATCACCGGGCAGTTTATTGTGCAACACCGAGTATGCATACGTGGTCATAAAAATTTATCTTTGCGCGGACGTGTCCGGTGGACGAGTGCTAATTGCTTTCTTCACTGACGTCAGGTGGACTTTGAGTCCGCGTCGAGTCCACCTCGAGTACATGTGAACCTCCGCGGAGTGAAGTGCGCCCGAGTATGTGGGGGCCTTTATTTATTTTTCTGGTTTCTGCTTCTTGAGTGTACCTCTTTAGGCGAGTAGTCAGAGCTTTGAGGCTTTGTTTGGAAGTCTCTAGAGTCTCAGGTATAGTCATGTTGCGGTGTTTTCAAGGTGGATCTTTCTTTATTGCACCTTTCTGCTGTTTTGACAGCTAGCCTATATGTCTCTGTGTTACTTTGATCTTCACTCCCAGCCTCCTCCATGGTGGACAATATTTCTTATTCATTGTGGGCTTGATCTTGAAGCCAAACAAGTCAAGGATCATTGTTACTGTTATTGGTCTCTGTGAAAGTGGCAGTAGGGATACTTAGCAATACTGCATTTAGATCTTCTAGCAGACTTTTAGAAGGTGACTGGTCACTAGCCTTGGCAAAAGGTACAAATTATAGGCGTCTTCGTCACAATATTCATTCTCAGATCAGCTGCCCTTGTATTCATATCCTCAGGGTTTTTCAATGGGGCTTGGGATCCCATGGTGGGGATGGCTGATTACTCCTGACCTTTCGTCCTGGCTCCCTCCTTGCACCAATGTTACAAGATATTTTTCATTCATCCATTCAACCTTTACCTATACAGATAAATCACACTCAGCCTCCAAGACTCATTTACAAAAGCGACCTGTTTGGGCAGACAGTAAAGTGGTGAAAGTGACAACAGGTTTTGACCATAATGTTTGATTTTGTCATTCTGAGAATAATGAGAATTAGGAAGCTCGTCTTTTATAAAACCTAGTAGTTTAGAAGAAAAAATTCAGTGAGTCACAATTAAATATCCAACAAACTGTCCTACTTTTAATGTTCACCCCAATAATTTATTAGTATGCAAATATATCCTTTATTATTCCAAAGTGGGGTGCTTATTAATTTTTCACAAATACTATAAATACTCACATAGGCTCCATAAATCTGTGGTTAAACTTGTTCAGAGTATTATAAACATTTGTTCCCTCTTTATAAAAGAGTGGTCTTTTCCAGTTCATTTTACTTCTTTAATTTTAGAACGTGACAAACTAATTTTTACGTACAGTATTTACTGAATGTAAAACTTTTTTCTTCTTCTTTCAGATGCTCCCTTCTTCAGGGGAAGTTCACAGCAAACTAACTCACAAGAAGATTTGGTAATTATTTTTATGCCAGATGCCCTTCCTGACACAACCACAGACCACCAAGCTACCCAAATTTTTATGTTGTTAGTTCATGGAATCGAACCGGCAACCTTTGGATCACAGACTCGCCTCCTCTAACCTCCGCAGCACCACTCCACTGAGAGAAAAACCGAATACTGAGCTGTATGAACAGCTCTTTTGATTGTAAAATTTGCTAAAACTGACACTGAGGGGTGGCTGACTTTTATGGCTTCAGCTTCTGGTTTCCCATCAAGTGTCTAGTAATAATGTGGTATATGTTCAAGTTCCACTCCTATTCTAGCTGCTTACTTCATGTTTTATTAAAAAAAAAAAAGTAAAATGGTAAATGGACTGTACTTATCCAGTGTCTTTCTATCTTATCAAGATACTCAAAGCTCTTTACAATCAGTGCCATCATTTACCCATTCATACAGCACTCTACTAGATCTATACAAAGATTTATCAGAGCTTTATCACATTCATACACTGATGGGACACACATCGGTGGCAATGAGGGGTTTAGTGTCTTGCCCAGGGACACTTCAGCATGTGACTGCTGGTGGATTCCAACCCCAGCTCTCCCATTGGAGGACGACTGCTCTAACCACTCAGCCACAGCTGCCCTCAAAAGGATGTAAACTCACCTTTCTGCTGCTTCCATTAAAATGTATGCATTTTCAGTTTTCCAGCTGCAGGACACATTTTTCCTTGACTGACCACATGAAATAGAAACTTCAGAGTGGTAAATAGGCCGCTTGAGTCACAGTATGGAGCTGTTGATCGGTAGAGTTGGTGAACATGGGGCCTGTTGAGGTTATCTGAGGCTCAGGCCCCGCTCTGACCAAACATCAGAGCTCTTAATTAATGGGGGAATGAATACAAGATGCAGGTTAGGACTTCAGCTAATTTGGGCATTGTTAAACAGAGACAGTACCGGGGAATTCAGCGGGGGAGCAGGGGCAGATAAATCAATGATCAATGAAGAAAGCGAGCATGTAGGCAATTTGCCAGTTAATGTGTTCCCGATATCAGCTGATTGTGGTGGAGTGTGCAGTGGAATGAAGACTAAACTGGAAATAAAACTGCTCAGAGCAGCTGCAGCACTGAGAAACATCACAATGGAAAATATCTGAGATATTTAAATCAAAATAAATAAATATATTTATAGATGAATGTGTAAAATCATAAATTATTTTGTTGTTACAACTTTATATCAGTAGCAGATAAACCTACCATAATATTTTTTGATTGGGAATGAAAAGTAAGGCAATCAGTTCTATTTTATGTTACAAATATAATTTTTAACAATTTCAAAGTCTTGTATTTTTAGATAGCTTTTTATTTTTACTACAAACATGTAACGCTCTTTCTTTTTAACTTACCAATAACACATTTTTTATTATTATTTTTCTTCTGAAAATAAGAGATTCAAATTATTTTGGGCAAAACTTTTCATGGACAAACAAGTTGTTCAGTAAAATTTTAAGTTGTCAATCTGAACAACTGATTTTCAACTTGAAGAAATGTTTCAAAAATGATACAATTCAGTCTGACTTCATGAATTTGCGACTTTCCTCCAATAAATTGAAGCTTGATGATATACAATGAACTTGAATGTATTTATTACCCACTGACAAACACAAAAGGATATAACTTGGCCCATATGTGTTCATTTGTTGGTCTGTCAGCAAAATATCCCATTAATCATAGAATGGATTTCAACAACACCCTTAGAAGTGTAATTCCTGGCTGTACAACTACAACCAATTGATTTTTGGAGTCAGTCCAATTTAAAATGGCCACTACTGCTAATCAGCCTCAATTCCTGTGTCCATTAGTTTTTCTGGAGGTGCTCCTGCCAAGGAAATTAATGGCTTACCCAGTCCCATGTGAGCATCAAGGCTGGTGTACTCGATGGTCCCGTTGGGGCCCTTTTTAGGGTTTTCCTGGTATTCTTTGTGGACTCCATCAGGACAATATCTGTAAGAGAGGCCATAGTCTGCAAGGTACACCTAAAAGATGACAAAACACACTTTCAGTACAATATACGTAGTACATATTATCAATCAAGTTGTCCTGGCTTCTCAAGTGGAAGAACCATCAACACTTGACAGTTGAGAGAAGAGCGTTTCAGCAGCAGATGGATGGATAGTTCTGATTGGTGTTGAATTATCTCAGAGATGTACCGGTAGATTGGACTGACCTGTTCAGGGTCTCTGTAATCCAACATGAGGTTGGCAGCTTTAATGTCTGCATGAACATACTCATTTTCATGAATGAACTCGAGGATGTCCACCTGACAAAACAAAAGAAAAGCAAGGAACACACATCGTGATCAGCAAACTGATGAAAATCACTGTGGTCTTGGTGCACTGTCCTGAAGATGTTCAAACTATTGTGTGACAAATTTCCTCTCAAAAGAGTTGCAGTGTTGTGAACATCCCAAACCAATCTGAATTACTGGACAAAGCAGATGAGCTGAAGAAGCAATCATAACTCCAAAATATGAAAAACATTATGGAAAACTGAGATAAACAGACAACACAGCTTAAAAATAAATAAATAAAGTAGACCTACCGTATGTTTATAGGAAGGTCGTTTTGCAACTCCCTTTTGCTTTATTTTTCAAAAAGACTATTTATGACAACAATATAAGAAATCTCTTGTTATTCTGTTCTGGCTTTTGGTTTTGGTGATGATGAGTTCTACTTGTGTTTAACAGATTTTTATTTTGTTTTTTGGTCCTTCAGTCTGATGTTTAAGTACAGTAAAGTCAGTGTTCAGAAAACAGAACATCAGAAGTGATCTTCTCACCAGTCTTTGACCAAGATGGAGCACAGTCGTCTTCTTCAGTCGACCTCCGTTGTGCTCACAGACTTTTTGAAGATCAGTACCGAGCCGGTCCATGGCCATGAAACGATACCTGAGAAACAAAAACTCATTACCTTTTACAATTACTTTACAAATTACTCTTTGAATTAAAGCCCTATGAATTTTGCAATAATGGAAGTTGTCTACCAACATTCATATATGAGTTTTAAACTGAGATCATGTTGTGATATTTTCTCCTTAGATAATTTTTTTTTCCCGTTTGCTCTTGGTGAAAGCAGACGCTTCCTCCTCCACTTCGTCCCTGCTTTGCTCTTTGTCTTGTGAAAATTTTTTCAGAGCTCCTTTTTGCATACCTTCCAAATTGTAAACTATGGATTTGTTCAGCTGGTCTCTCAACACAAATGATCTAATTTTCTCAACAAGAAGGCAGGGTGAATGAGAGCCCTCTTACCTCGATACCATAATTGGATTTATGATAACTGGATTCTTCTTTTTGGAGTTGGTGGAAATCAGGATTGGTGACAAATTCTGAAATTTCAGCAGCTGTTTTAAGCTATCTGGAATGTGCGTGGCAACACTCAGACTATGTGCAAACTATCTATGGACCTGTATCAGAGCCGAGCAGGCAGGACTGTGGAACTTTGTGGCAGTGTTCACGGACGGTTGGAAGGAATAGATCTTGGAGAAGTTGTAAGCCTGACTTTGGTGTAAGTAATCACAATTCAGCTGTTTGGAGTCGCCATGAGATGTACTAGCTCGACTGTCAAAGGCAGACGCGGAAATTAAAAGGCTCAGCCTGACCCATAAAAATGTTGAAATCTAAATCTAGCTCTGGCCTTGGAAGGCTGACTATCTCAGTTTCTCCTTGGATGTTATGAAAACAAGATGCTCTGCTCCCCTCATCACCCTCTCCCCTCCTCTCCCCAAGGATGGGGACCTGTGTCAGAGCTCAACCGAGCTGGCTGATAAACAAACACCTCTTATCAGGACTATGGCTCTGGACTGTGCCATGACTTCCCCTCAAACTCGTGCCTTCGCCAGCCTCCCTCAATGCCTCCCCTGGTGCAGCAACATAGGAGATACGAAGGTGCCAAAGGGCTGCGTCGCTCACCTGGCCGCTGTACTGGGAACCCCACCCCCTACCCACTCCACACGAATATGTAATTTATGTCTATTTATGTGTTTTTTATGTTGCGCTGAGGTCATTTTTTGCAACTATAATAATACTGTGTCCCATAGGACACAGTGTGAGATTTTATTTTTATTTTATTTTTTTACACCTACCCTTCCCCTCGTGTTTCTTTTTCCTTATCTAAAAATAAGACTGCGCCTCCCAAAGTGGCGGCCTCAGTCACCTCCGTCTCCCCATGTCAGTTGCTGTTTATGTTGTTCTCTTGGACGGGCTGTACTGAAAATGCCATTTCATTGTACTTCGGTGCAATGACAATAAAGCTGATTTTGATTCTGATGAGAAATAATAGTTTGCTTTATGTTCAAATATTTTACATTAAGATTGGCACTAACTCTTGATACTGTGAGATCTCTTGTCACTCACAAACAATCACAAGAACAACTCTCAGCTACAATCATGAAAAAAGCTTAATATCTTTACATTTGACTGGATTATAGACAGTACTTGGTTGATCAGCTGTGGAAGCCATCTCGAAGTGACTTGACTCCAAAAGTTAACCAGTTGTACACAACGATTAGTTTCTGGGAGTTTCTTTAAAATTGGTTAAGTGGTTCATGAGATATTTTGCTAACAGACAGTGTTGACTCCAATTAATTGAAAGATTTTAAAAACATAACCAGTTAGTGCTTGGAATATAAATTGGGAATGACTAAGTTACTTCCGTCGTAAATTGTAACTTCAATTGGCTGAGTTGGAGCCATTTTTATGTTTTTAATGGGGCTTAACTGTGACAGTTAATTAGAAAAGAGTTGACCCTAAAGTTATTCAGCTGTAAATGTCCATTCAAAAATTATTTTAAAGAGTTTGATTAAAATCCATCTACTGGTTCAAACATGTTTTTTTTCCCCATGTCCACAGTTTCAATGGCCTCTACTCTTCTTTCTCTTTCATTCGCTTCATTCATTCAAAGTACTCCCATTTTTATTCCTATCTTTAACAAGCCTAACCTGTTGCACATCCTTTCCAACGTGATCCCTCTGTCTCACCAGTCGGTGCAAGTCCTTCTCGCCCTTTTTAGTGTCCAGCCTCCCATAACACTCATCATATGTCTTCTGCTTTGCCTCTCCCTCTTGGTTCTATGCTGCATCTCCTTATATTCCTGTCTCCTCTCTTCAGTTCTCTCACTGTCATATTTCTTCTTGGCTAACCTCTTTCTTTGAATAGAAATAAAAAAATTTTTAAAGAGTTTGATTAAAATCCATCTACTGGTTCTACCATAATCCCATATTCAAACACACACAAACACACAAAGCATCACCCTTTGACCTTCTGTGGCAGACAGTAACAAACTGCTATTGACTTAAAAGTCCTCTAACAACCAGACAAAACTAAAAAGTCTGAATGTGATTGTCAGCAGAATAAATAGGTAAACATATATTTTATGCACCAGGTATTACCAAGACCAAATAATGTAAACTAAGTAAATAAATAAATCTGAAATAAGAAATAATAAAAACATAATTCCCCAGATGTAAAATGAGTCACTACCTGAGGTCCTTGTACTCAGCCAGTCCAGACCCCCAGTACGTGGGGATTCCAAGAAAGTCCAGTTTTTTGCTTTTTATCCATTTTTGCACTGAAAGCAGAACAGTTACTTGACTTTAGAAATACATTTTGTTATTTGTTCCTAAAGTCCAGACTCTGTGTATAAAAAGACTGAAGTCAAATAAAGACCAAGCATGCCTTGAAGGAATGACTGTTACCGACTGCGTATTATACTGGGAGTTGTAATTTAAGATTATCTTATGTTGAGAAAAGATGAGTTGTCACCTTTTAGGTCAAATATTTAATGAATAAATGGTGCTAGATATGTTGGCATGCAGTTAATCAGTGGTACGGGGAACATCCAATGGTTAACTTTCTGAGTTTCATTCAAAGCCAACCAGTGCTTTATGAGATATTTGATAATGCTACAAGACCAATGAACAAAGTTCTACTGACAGTCTTAATAAAAAGAATAGCTGGAAGTTATTTTGATTCTTTTGACAATACCAGTACTAACAGAGCACAGCCTTGACCCACAGCTGCCTCTCTGACTTGTTTCTGTTAGAAGAAAAGGTGAGTCTGAATGAAAACGTCAGCTTTGTCCTTGTAGCTGGAAGGACGTCTTCGTACAAACAGCAGGGTGAAAGCAGAAAGGCACAGAGACACAAAGAGGCTGCAGACAAAGTGCTGGTCCTGACTCCAGACTTGGTGGCTGTTAGCCTGACTGGCTCTTAACCAGGCTGGCAGGTGGTCAGGGGCTCAGCGGAGGTCCAGGCATCATTACAAGTGAATGGCTCTCCCTCATCTGCTGCTTTCCAAGCAGAGGTGTTGGAGAACCCAGACAAGCGTGGAGATGAGGCCCCTGCTGCCACCAAAGTGCATGTTTGCTTTACTTTATTATTAATTACTGTGAAGCAGGCAGCCAAACCGCTGCGTCTGCAGCCACTTCATCAGTCAAAGGCATGTGTGCTCCAGCGAGCTGCAGGGACGTAGGACGGCTTGTGTTGCTCACCGTTCTCTGCTTTGGCTGCCCGCTGATAGAACTTGAGCTCGGAGAACAGGGGCCCATTCTCCTGGTACTCCTGCACTCACACAAGTACACAGAAATATTACAAAGATGATTCATTGGATGAAAGCATTAAAATCTGACCCAAAGTTCATAAATGCCCTGTCCCAAAGCTAAGTTTTAGACTTCTGCCTGTGTATGAAAATATTGTCCAACACTATGAAAATGGAATTAAAAAAATCAACTGAATGACTCTTTTGGAAGGATACATATTAGATGATTACGAGTTGAACTTGTTTAAAATATGACTAACTTATCCATAACTTGTCTCTGGCATATACGTAACTTATACAAGTGTATGACAACGTTTCTGACACATGCAGAGCTTATGTACAAAAGGACTGCACACCAAGCACATGTAACCCGAGCATGTTGGAGCGTATTATGATAATCACATGACATCAGATATAAATAGGGCAGTTCTCTGCACCCCCAGTCATTCATTTTGTATTGACCAGCAAGCCTCTGAAGAACTCAAGAAAGCTGCATCTGTGATGATGGTGTGGGCCTCTGGAGGAGTGAAGAGTTGCTCATCATTTCTACCCTGAAACCCAAAACGCTGGCCGATGTGCCAGCTGTAAGTAATAAACATGTTCAGTAAGTTCTAGGGTCGTCAGCTACACGCTGAATATGTCAATATAATGTAACGCCCCTTAGCATCACTTCTTTATGAGTGAGGGAAGAATAGAGCGTGAAATTTACAGATGAATTGGTGCAGCGTCTGCAGTATTGTGAACTCTGGGCCGGTCTGTTGTGGTGAAGAGGGAGCTGAACTGTAAGGCAAAGCTCTCCGTTTACCAGTCGGTCTATGTTCCTACTCTCATCTATGGTCAAGAACTCTGGGTAATGACGAAAGAATGAGATCGTGGATACAAGCGGTTGAACGAGTTTCCTCTGCAGGGTAGTTGGACTCTCCCTTGGAGATGGGGTGAGAAGTTCAGTTATCCATGAAAGACCCCGAGCAGAACCACTGCTCCTCCCCATTGAGAGGAGCCAGTTGAGGTGGGTCAGGCATCTGGTAAGGATGCTCCCTGGGAGCCTCCCTAGGGAGGTGCTTCAGGCGTGTCTGACTGAGAGGAGACCCTGGGAAAGACCCAGGCCAACTGAGAGACGTAGTCTGGGAACGCCTAGGAATCCTCCAGAAGAGCTGGAAGAGGTGGTTGTAGAAAGAGATGTCTGGACCTCCCTGATCAAACTGCTGCCCCCAAGACCTGACTTAGGAATAAGCAGAAGGGAAGTCTGAGACTGTCATCATTGTATGTTCTCATACAATGTTGAAATTAGCTCTCTGCATTTAACCCACAGTGGAGCAGTTGGCAGCTATGCAAGGGCCCGAGGAGCAATTAGAGACATCACGACATGTGGGAATGGCTGGGAGTCGAACCGTGACTTTCTGGTCCCAATTCGGCTGCCCTGCCTCTAAACCATCTCGGCCCCCAATAAACGAAAGATGATGGATGGATTGATAGATGGATGGATGGATTGGTGGATGGATGATTGATTGGTGGATGGATGGATGGATGGATAGACTGATGGATGGATGATGGGTGGATGAATGATGGGTTGATGGATGATAGATGGATGGAGAATGGGTGGATGAATGATGGGTTGATGGATGGATGAGTTGATGGATGGATGGATGGATGGGTTGATGGATGGATGGGTTAGTGGATGGATGAATGGATTGATGATGGATTGGTGGATGGATGGATTAGTGGGTGGGTGGATGGATGGATGGATGGATGGATGGATGGATGGATGGATGGATGG